GTGTGTGTGTGTGTGTGTGTGTGTGTGTGTTTGTGTGTTGTGTGTGTGTGTGTGTGTTTGTGTGTGTGTGTGTGTGTGTGTGTGTTCCAAGAGGGCGACTGGCTTGTGTTATTATCCGTTAACTGACCGGCCCCAGGGGCCAAGTCCCACTACCAGCGTTGAGTTTCCTTGACGCCAGAATCTGGACAAGTTTGAGGCTATGTGCGATTGAGGAAACTCAAGGCGATTTCGGCATATCTCAACAAACACGTGCAGATTCAGTCTTTACGGAAACTCAACGTTGCTAGTGGGACTTGGGCCCAGGTAATTCAGAATTTAATTTATTCTGTTTCATCTCATTTCAGCATGCGGACTCGAACTTGGGTCTGTATTTTGACAATTCATGGCTGTAGCAATCGAGCTACAGTCTTCCCCCGAATATAACGTACGATCAGCTGAAAGATACACCAAATTCAGCTATAATGACCATACGTTGTATTCGGGGGAAGACTGTAGGACCGTTGCTTGTCGTGTAATTTCTGGTTGTCTATCTGGGATTCTGGGTTTCGTAATTTCTGAGGTTTCTCCGAAATAGAAAAAAAAAGGAAAAAAAAAAAGGAATCTGACGTCACAAAATCCCTCCCACTTTCTCAGTTCTGACTTTTCGATCTTTCCTAATGGGGAGGTGTAGCTGGTGGTAATCAGGGAAAAAAACAAAATTAAAAATACACAAAAATCAAGTGATAATCAGGAACAACAAAAAACAAAAAAACAAAAAGTCTGACCTTCGAGTTTTGCACTGAGAAAGCGAATTCTAAACAACTATCCGGCTAGATGCGTGAATCACCATCAGGGCAATAATAATAATAATAATAATAATAATAATAATAATTTATAAATCAGGTGATAATCAGGGGGAAAAAAAACAAAAAAACAAAAAAATCTGACCTTCAAGTTCTGCACTGACAAAGCGAATTCTAAACAACTATCCGGCTAGATGCGTGAATCATTTGAAAATTTTGAGTCAAACGTTTACGAAAATGCTTTCTTTTTTTTTCCCCTTACGCTATCCAAGCATTCGTCCACCGCGATCGGGACGGATCAAGGCCAGACTGTCCAGTCATCATGGTCTAGACCCCGTTTGATACCACATCATGGACCAACCCTTCAAACCCCTTCTTCCTCCCGTCTCCGCCAACAAGCCCCAGCCCGCCTTGCCCCCCCCCTCCAGTCTCCCGTCCCCAACAAAAAAAAAAACAACAAACGAAAGGAGGGGAGGGTGGAGCCTGGAGGGGGGAAGGAAGAAAGCCAACCACGACAAATTAATCTTATCCTATCCTATTATACATTGAGCGAGTCACCCGTGCCGTCCACATGGCCAATCGAGGTCGACGGTTTCCAGCCCCATAATTTCTTCCTCGTTTCTCTCGTCTCGACGGTCTCACTGCTCAGTGATCGCCAGGTCCCACTTCCACCCTATACTAAATATAACCTGCTAAGCATTCACGCCACTACCAGGTAGCTCTGCTCCACCGTCCTCCACACCACACAGTGGCACACACACCACACACACGCAGAGCGAACATGACAACACACTGGCACACATGCGTTTTTTGCTTGGACCGTTGGACGAACACACGCGGCCGGCCGGATATTGTCCAGAAGAGAGAGCGAGAGAGAGAGAGAGAGAACGAGAGAGAGAGAGAGAGAGAGAGAGAGAGAGAGAGAGAGAGAGAGAGAGAGAGAGAGAGAGAGAGAGNGAGAGAGAGAGAGAGAGAGAGAGAGAGAGAGAGAGAGAGAGAGAGAGAGAGAGAGAGAGACAGAGAGGGACGGTGAGAATTGTTTTGAGGATCAGTACCAGGCATTGTGGACGTTTCCCAAGAATGGAGGGCGAGAACTTGCTCGAGATGCTCGGCAATCGTGGCTACTACGAAGACGAGAGTGGAGTAGGTTGTAGTTCTTATAATGAGTACCCAACGTGCAAGGGTCAGTTGGTGTACAGGGCATAGATGTCTCGTGCCATAACACGGGAGCTCGGTTTGTTGCTCTCATATCCATTCCGTCGTCTCTGAATTGACATGGTGGCGACGGTCGCGGTTCACATCGTCTCTTCACGTCACCGGCATGATGGCAGCACACTGTGACGCCTCCACTCCTCTCCATTCTCAGGTTATTCTCTGCTGTCTCCCTGCTGATACCCCCCCTCCCTTCTATCTGACCCCCCCCTCCCCTCTCGACCCCCACACTCCCCCCCTTCATCAACTTTCGTGACGCTGCAGCAGATCGTGTCCAACCTTGATTTCTGTCGCTTGACACCTGGATACCAGTGCCCTCACAACCCTGGCCAACCTTATACTTATCTTTATCCTCAGGGTCTTTATGTCCACCTACGGACATGTCTATCCCTCTTGCGAAGCAATCGTGCCCATTAGCACTAGCAGCACCACCAGCAGCAGCAATGCCACCAGTAGCAGCATTAGTGCTATTAATAGTACTTGTAGTCGTTCTCCCAGCGATAGTCGTAGCAGCAGCAGCAGCAGCGAGAGAAGCCGTGGTGGTTCCTGAATTAGTAGTATTCCCCATCTGTGGGTGCTCTTGCAGCGCGGGCTGAGCGTCTTCTTCCAGTTTCCTTCTCGTTCTGTCGTGATCCATGATGACGGGACCCGGACTCGATGTCTCGATGGTACGTCGTCGTGCTGCCCCGGCCGTTGTCTGAGCGGACAAGGGCTGATTGCCGAATGAGGCCGACGACGTCAGATTGCTCCCGTTCCGCGATCCCCGGCCGGAGAACGGGAGATTGTTCTGTGAACGAGGAGTGAAGTTTCCTCCTGCGGCACATCTTGCGCCTCTGCTGCACACGTGTTCCCTGTAGAGAGCCCGTCTGGCGCCGCCCCGCTTCGCGTTCGCGGACCCCGGCCGGCTTCCTGCTTGACGCGTGGCAGCGGGTGGGCCACCTCGCTTGATGATATCTTGGTCACTTGGGCGCCAGCCCGTGGACTGGACATCTTGCGCCCCGTTGACTGATCGCGCGGAGGACGACATCTTCAAGCGCATTTCTCGGTCACGTGGCGTCGACGCCGCGGACGCTGGCCGCCACGGAGGATGCTGAGGCGCCGCCCTCTTCGTAGACTCGCCCACCAGCAGCGCCATCAAGTCCTTGTCGGGGCGGAGTTTACGTGGGGGAGAAAGATTGCGCAGCTTCGGCTTGCCAACCTTCATGTCAGGCTCGTCATCGCCGGGGTACCCTTGCCAAGCTAACTGTTCATCGCTTTGCAGTTTTCGACGAGGTGGGGTGTTGGCCGGGAAGTATTATCCCCATGATTCACACAAACCAAAACACATGCTCATACCGTGGTTGTGCGTTCCCCACACTTTTGCGTGTGCGTGTGTGTGTGTGTGTGTGTGTGTGTGTGTGTGTGTGTGTGTGTGTGTG